TTAAAATTGTTCCAGCTGACAAGTCTTCATCAACAGATCGTTCAGTGAATCAGATGACAGTCTCTAGTTTCTTCCCGAGGTGATTGTCAATGAAATTGCCACTATGTTAATGTGTCTGGCAACAGGCATGGTTGGGAATATATTATTTCAATAGTGTATCGTAACAATGTGCCTGATATTCTTAACCACTTTGTTAAGGTGCCATGCTTGTGAATGAGCATATTCAACTTGTGTCAAATTTCAACAGCAACAATGAGAAAATAGTGACATTTAGTTACTTGATTAGCACTTAATCTCCTAAAAATGAGTTAGGTTAGTATTCTAGATGCAGTAGGTTGAGTAGTAGACCCAGGTTAATATAAATATGGGTTTAAAGCCTACTTTCCATCGGCTTTTTTTTTTTTTTTGAAAATCAAAACAAGAGAATATTCAGTTTTATTAATGTGTATTTAGTTAAAAAAAACCTAATCATAAATTGAAAATTATTTAATTAAATAAATTAAAAATTATATTTGTCAATAACTACCAAAAAAAAAGAAAAGAAGACGTTGATGTATTTATTTGACTCTCCTCACTACAAGTTGGATATTTTTTCTCTAATACAAGAGAATAAATGTGTAAGTATTGCTAATATATTTTTTAACCAAAATGTATTAAATTAATTATTTAATATATATTAAAAATTATTTTTAAAAAATATATCAACTAAAAAAACAAAATTAAAAAAAAAAAAGAATCTACACACCTAGCCCATGTTAAAAAGGGATAGACAATATGTTATTTTGCCCTATTGACAGTAGAAAAAAAAAAAAAAGCTGAAAAAAGAATCTACACACCTAGCCCATGTTGAAAAGGGATAGACAATATGTTATTTGCCCTATTGACAGTAGGAAAAAAAAAGCTCAATCATGCAGACTTGCAAGTGTAAAACAAAATATATCTCAAATGTCTAGAATAAGAAATAATAATTTTTTTTAGAAAAAATTTAAGGGAAAAAAATTACAAAAGAATATAAATAAAATAAAAAGAATGTTGATAAATATGCTAGATGTGAAGTGATAAATATGCCAAATTTAAGGGGGAAAAAAAGGAAAAAACAACAAAAAAAATTCATGAAATTTTTTTTTACAAATCTTTCATTCTATAGTACTGCTATAGTAAAAACAATTGAAAAAAATTATAAAATCACCATTTCTCAAAGAAATTAAAAAATTAAAAATTACTATTTCTACATTGATTTATCATTTCCTTTCAAAATATATATATTGATTGTCAGTTGGAGGCTTACCAACTTGTATTTGAAAAGTGTAGATTTAAACTACTTTAATGAATGTATTATAGCTGTATGTTACATAGCAAAAATATTTGTATATAAAAAAAAATAATATCTAGATTATTGAAAACTTTTTAATATTATTATTATATTCAACATAATAATTCAAACTTGAAAAATTATAATATGAATTTTGCTTAATCTAAGTTTTAAATTATATTATATAAAAATTGTCCTGACATGAGTACTGGATAGGTTTAAAAATAAGAAAAAAAATAGAATTCTCAAGTTGACCTTAGAATACAAAACTTAATTAAGTCAAGATCAGAAATAAAATTTTCAAGGATTCTCTAATTTCCAAACCAGGTATCTTATCTTAATTTGATAACACAAAAAAGAAGTTAATGAAAGAGCAACCTAAAGAAACCACAAAAGAAAAAAAAAAACAGGTAGCCAAAGAGGGAAGTACTACAAGATGTGAATTATTACATGATTATTACCTTCATAAATCCTAATTAAGAAATTCTATTCAGACATCATCAAACAAGAAAAACAACTTTCCAACGTAGAAAAACACACACAAAGAAGGACTAACGGTACATGTTCTGCGCAAGTAATGATCATTATACATAACTTAATCCCAAGGTAAAGCAATATAAAATCCAAATTAGAAATATCAGCATGATTCCGATAGCTGTGCTAATAATGGTGGGTGATTCGCTTCCTGAGAATTATTTTCGAATGACTTGTAAAAGTATAGGTAAGGAAAATCTTTTCTCAACCACCAAGCAAGAATGCTTTGTGTGGAACATTCAAATATATCCAGAAGATGGAAATATACCTATATATATATATATTCTCAAAAAGAAATATAGAAAAAAATATTATATTCCAATATGTGTGAATGTGGAGTCTTAATTATCCATGTGTGAAACAGGAAAAAATGAAACCACAACTATGTGAATAATGTATTAATGTGAGTATATGTTGCACATACATGGTCATGATGTTACAACATTATTTCCAAGCACTTATGTTCTTATTTTTGTACCTTTCTATACATATCCAGTATAAGTACCATTATAATGTATTTGCTAACTTCAAATATATAAAACTATTTTAAAAAAAAATAATATTCAAAAAATATATAAAAAAATATATTTGAAAAACAATGAATATATCCTCCTACAAGAGATATCATTGGGAAATTTTTAATAACAGTGCTCCTACAAGAGATATCATTGGGAAATTTTTAATAACCGTGAAAGTTTGATTAGCAATGTTGCATGGTAATAAAAACATGGTTATTAAACCTAAACTAATTTAGTGAATCAACTTAGAATCTAGTTGGTGGCTGGACTGATTTAGATAAGGTAAAAAACTGAGATGAGCAAAAACTTGGTTGACTTACATGGTTGACCTGTAACTTGAGCAACCTGGCAAAACCCAGTTGAGACCCTTTTTTTTTTAAATGTATTTTTTCTTTGAGGTAAAGATTTTTTTTATATTTTTAGTTGGTTATTAACCATTTTCAAAGTTCACTATATAAATCCTAAAAGAATATTTTATTTTTTTAATATAAAATTTAAAGTCCTTTAATATATATAATCTATGTTCATAAGAAAAAAGTTATGGTTTTTCAATGTGGGATAAAAAAATATTTTTGATTTAAATACTTCAACTTAAAAGGATAATATACTAATATAGTATATTTTCAATGTGGGATAAAAATCTTTTGAAATAATCTTTTAAACTTGATTATTTATAACATGTATAGTCTATATTCACATGGATTGTTTTTTTATTTCTTTCATATAAAATATTAAAACTTTAAAAATATATATTTTTATTTTTCCAGGTTGATTTGGGTTGACCTGGTGAACCCATGTAACCCATAACCCGATCCCCTGGTCGGGTCAATTCCCAAATCAGGTCTGATAACTATGGGTAAAAAGTTTATATATCCTAAAATAAGCTATATTGATGAAAAATATTGAATTTATTAAGAATTTATGTCAGTCTATAGACTTATTAATTTTGACTTTAATGTTAAAAAATTAAATACAAAATTAATTGTTTAGATAATATATTTAAATTCATTTTTTTCTAATTGATACACACACACACATACTCGTTAGGAGGCCTGCGCTTCGCTGCGGGCTCACTTTTTATTTTCTTAAAAAGTTGGGTCCTAACACTAGCAAGATCCAAGACTATTTGGATCCTGCACAGGTAGGACCCAAGTTGGGTCCTGTATAACCAATGATCCAGTGCTATTTTGGGTTTCACAGAATGCAGGGCTCAAGGATAGTTAGGTCTTAGTATATCCAAGCGCCACGTGTGTATAGGGGTCTGCCCAGCACAACGCATGATGCAAGCGCCACTTGTACGCTTTAGGCCTGAGCCCAAACGCCAATTATTTAGATAGATTTACTTACGCATGATGCAAGCGCCACTTGTACGCTTTATGCCTGAGCCCAAGCGCCAATTATTTAGATAGATTTACTTATAGAAAATGATAAAATTCATAATAAATCAGAATATGGATGCTATGACCATAAAACTTTAAAAAAAATGACTTGTATTGAGAAGAGGGGGATTTTTTTGGGGTGGTGATTATTTTCAATTTGGGAGGGGAAAGTTAAGATAGGGAAGAAGAAGGGGAAATAGAGGAGGAGAGGGTCGGTAGAGTGGTGAAATACTCATTCTCTTGATGATTCGGTCAGCAATTTTGATGGTGAATTGGTTACGTCACCATACAGAGATCTGAGTTTTTCCTCTCATTTGAAAATTAAAAGAATGATTATTTTTAAATTTCTGATGTGAAAATCTACCATTATTGTTGTCTATTCTCCTTCCTTTTCCACCTAAAAAGTGATTATTAGATAAAACTTGTAAAGCTTGCTCCTCTTTATCTTGTTGTTTCAACTTTTGTTTATGAATTAGGAAGGAACTTTGCAATTCATCAATGGAAAGTTTGAAGAATTACAAAGAAAAGATAGAATTTTCTAATAATATTATTTATCAATGTTGCCGATATATATACAAAAGTATATGCTGAAGTTAGGCTACTGTTACAACAAGTCATGTTATTGTTAAGTTTAACTAATTACATAATTTTATCCCTAAATAATAAGAGATAACCACTTTAAGTGAGTTATCTTAATTGGATCCCAATAGATAATTACTCTAGTCACATATTTTAACATTGTTCTTAAAGGTGGTGTATGGTTGTCATACATACTCAGCTTATCAAGACAATTCATAAATACTTTATTGGATACTATTTTCGTAAGAACATTAGCAAGTTGAAATTTTGACTTTACAAAAGAAAAATGGATGATGCCAGCCTCACACTTCTCTTTGATGTAATGTCTATTAATCTCTACATATTTTGTACTATCATATTAAACATGATTATAGACCATCTTTATAGCTAATGTACTATCACAATAGAGATTCATTGTAATTCTTTGAGAGAATCCCTAATCTTCTATCAAGTACTTAACCATAATAATTGACATGCAACTGGAATGAAAGTTTCTTAATAATCAACCTTATAAGATTGTGTGTATCCTTTTGTGATAAGTCTCGTCTTATATCTTTCAATAGTTTTATTTGTATTGTGTTTGATAGTAAAAGTCCATTAATATTCAACAGTTTTTTTCCTATTGGAACAGTAACAAGATATCATATAATACTTTTTTTTTTATAGCCTCCATTTCCTCTGCCATGGCTATAGTACAATGAGAATTTTCCAAAACTTTTTGTAATGTACTAGGAACAGAGACAGAGAATAATTTACCCACATAAAATACATATGATGTAGACAGCTTGTGAGATGAGATATGGTTACTTATCAGGTATTTTACGTTGGCTTATGTATCGGGTTCATATTTAGCAGGGGGAACACATAGGTAGAACGTGATGGAAGTACATG